GATTTACTATTTCTTTGTGTCATTTAAATGCACTTTCCTGTTCCTGTACTTCACTTGTAAGGGTTGGAACTATTAAAGAAAGGAACCATTCATATTTCATAATTGAACTGAAAATTAAATATGTATCTTTAATATGTGAATATTCTTCCCCTTAACTGGTGTTATAGGCTACAGGTGCTGGCAAGTAATACTAAACAATATTTCACTTTTGACATATAATAATGGCATACTTTTGAAACTATCTGCCAAAAATCAAGTATTCATGTGAGTTTTAGTATCAATATCACACAAAGAGTGCCTTTCAAAAATGAAAATAAAATAAATATCAGCAATACAGTATGTTAATGTGAACAGAATAAGTCAGGTTTGTGTTTGTATTTTGTTTTTATTACAGATTATGTCAAACTGCAGCCCTCTGCAGTACAAAATTCAACGCTGCGTGGATAATGGGCATGCAGTGAAGACCTCAAGCTGCCTTTTATGGCAATAATGCTGCTGAGCCTGCAGCAGCATCCAGGGACCTTTGGGTCTTTAGCCCAGGGAGTAACAGCACAACACAAGGCATGTTGACTTTGTCCCTTTAAGAGTTTTAATAACTTAAACGTTTCTCCAAGGTCTCTCTTTAAGTGTTTCACAATGTTGGTTTCCAGTAGGGACTCATTTATTGAAACTAAAAGCCGCAGTGGAAGACTGTGAAGTGTAGAAATAAGCCAAGGCATACAGATATCTGCTTTATTCCTGACACATTACATTAAGCAGCATTAAGTAGCTGGCCCATGTGGAGGTCTGTCAAACTACTTAACAAACTCTTTCGGTTAAGGTAAAGAAATATGTTCCTAATTCATTATTTAATCTAATACAAATGTTTATTCTGGAGCGAAACAAGAACATACAACAGCAGAAAGATATGAGAAAATTGAAAGATAGAAGGTACATTAGTATACTCTATTGTAAATAAAGTTACTTCCCCTGATATCAGTTTATTTGTGTCCTGCATAATATCACTTTCACACAAGGTGAGTCATCATAGTCTATCAGGAAGTTATTACATTACTGAAATGTTATAAGAGTTTATTTTGATTTGCTACTAGACTTTAGACACCTAAAACCATCTGCAGCAGTCTCCCAAATATAGCCCTGTTACTATGAGAATATAATCTTGTGCAGGTCAACATCACATGTTAAATGTTTCTTTTCCCTATGCACCAAATTAAAAAGAGTAACGTCATCATGGGGATCATTGCAAAAGAATACAATAGCATATCATCAGTGTTCTATATAGCTTTCCTAAAAAGCCAAATGCACCACACTGAAGATAATATCATCTGCAGGTTGTTGCTCTCGTCTAAACAGCAGCAGATGAATAATGGAGTTTTATGAGTGCATTCAAACAAATGATCAGCTGGGGATTGAGCGTAAAGAAAGGCTCCTGTCTCATTTCTTTCCAAAGGACAATGCACACTCCAGCGCACGCTCTCCAAGTGTTCTGCAGTGAACACTCATGAATCATCATCGTTTCTGGCTCGGCGTCCCGGTGAACTCGCTCAGCTCCAGCCCTGAAGCTCAGGAATCTGGGTCTTCAGACCCCGGTCTGCATCAAAGCGATTTACAACGTCTCTCCCTGCAGCTCGGACCCCCTCGTCAGTGTCTGGCAGCAGACCCATTGCCTTTTATAGGCTGTGTTTTAATTGCAGAGTAAACATTTGAGTCAGTCCGATGCAGAGCAGGGGAGTCAGATGGAGAGGAGAGATGGCTTGGCTGATGTGGATGAGGAGGTGAGGACGAGGAAGGAGAGGAAGGAGAGGCAGGGGATGTGAGGGGAGGGCTTCAAAAAGTTTACTCTCCGCATCAGTTGGGGGGAAAACAAAGGTTTATAAGCATTTGGATGTAGTTAATGATAAAAGTATCTTGACTTAGACATGTTTAATTTACAGATCGAGATTTATATATTACATTTGGTTTCTTATATTTAATTTTGTATGTATATGCTTTTCTTATTCCTGAATTGTATTTACATCATGATGCCTCTTGTTCTTTTTTTATTATGGATATAGTGTTGCATTGTTGAAGGTCAGGAGTCTGAGACTTAGAATTGCCAAATATTGCCCTTTAGCTATTGTGCACAAATCAATATAGCCTTTAAATCTTTAAAATTATATTTCCCGTAGAAAAAACTTTTTGTTTATTTTATGCCAAAGCAACATTTTCATCCTACCAACCTAAAGATTTAATTTATTTAGCCACAAAATCAATATTGAGACCATTAACAACAGATGAAATAGCTCAATTATTTAAGGGCAATACATTGAAGTAGGAAAGGAGAAGGGTCGCTGGACAACAGATGGTCAATGGCGGTCTTTGTTCCAGTATTACCTATAGATGACTGACCTCTTCTGGCCAAACTCAGAACAGCAGGGCCACATGCATTATTTATGAGAATCATATCTGCTAAACAGTCCCATCTGCGAGCCTTGACTTTGCAGATGTTTCTAAACGGCATTAACCCATGTGGAAGCCAGGACTGCTCGTGAAATACAAAGCAGCCTATTCACGATCAGTCAGCTTTGTTACTCACACCAGGGGTCGCCTTGGAAAGAATCTGATCTGAGTTTCAGGCCAACAAACAGCTCTATTGTCCGTCTGGAAATGAGTAACCAGACCATCTTCCTCTGGTGATTCTGACTTCCTCCTCCTACGCAAAATGTTTTCTGAGCTATCATCTGTAGGATATAACAGATTGAGAAGAAGAAGTCTTTGTATCCAAAAAAGGAATGCTTTAATAAAAGGAAATAAATACAGTGCTTTGGATGGCAGTTAGAATCCATTACAGGCATGGGTTATTGCACAGCTCTAAGGAAAGACAAAAACACTTTCAGGACATCCGTTCAAAGTTAGAGCAACAGTTTTACCTGACACACATTTAAAACATTTCAGTCAGATTACCAACAAGAAATTCCAATGTGTTTTTTTCTCTTTCACTCCCACTGAGTGTTTACATATGGTGCAGGCCCTTTCTTCTTTATCTCTGAACATTTTAAAGACAACACATCTGTGACACTTTTCATTTTTGTACTTAATAATGGCTTCAAACAGGTGTCAACAGCAGTGTTGAATCGACAAAACATGTAACAGTAGACATTTCCCTGATGCTTGGTGCCTTTAACAAGAAAATCAAATGCTGTGAACATTCAAAATGCTGCATTAAATGCTCATTGTCAATGTACCTCAAAAATAGCTTTTTCCTAATGCTTGGATGCTTTTTCTTTTTGCAAGTAGTGTGAACAAAGTTAAAAATCTGTGCTTGATTCAGAAATTGCTAGAATGTGCAAAGTTCAAAAACATCTTTGAAACACTGACAGGAACATTGTCGTCATTTTTTTCGATGGCCAGTCCACAATCTGACCTACAGATACAGAGGCAACAATAGAAATGTTATTGTTTTTTTTTTTACCTGTCTAAGGTCTCCAAGGTGATCGAAGCCTATTGTCAGAGTAACATGTTAACATCGCTTTCTGCAACCACTGCTGCAATGTAACACATGCTGAGGAAAAAATAAACATCAACGACAGGCTGTTTTTCTACATAATTTCTGTGCAATTCATTAAATATAGAAACACTTCCATCTCGCTCTCCCTTCTTTGTCTCTACTTCCATACTACTTCTCTGTCACTGATCTGGTCACGAGAGGCAGCCTGGTTTCAGTCAGTAGGCCTTTGCATAAATAACAGACATTAAAAACCAACAAATAAAATGCCATTCAATGGTGGACCAGTCAGCCCTTGATCGTGTGGAACAGTAAATCAGCAGCTTGCACCATAGCAAATTAAACATTTGAGAGACAATAATCAAGTCTGTCACATACCACTAATTCCAATCTGAGTGTTATTCCATTTCTTCATCCATTGAAAATGTCCAATAAATGATTTAATTACAAGACCATTAACAATCATGAGTTGTTTTCTACTTATTAAAGAATGCAATGCAGTTTCTTAGATGTGTGTTGGCACTGTCTTCTTTTTCCAGCATCCAATAACTATTAACATGACACCATGCAAAGTAAGTATGTTTTTTAACTTCGGCATGATCATTATCGGGCGTGTTTTTCAAAAGGACCACATTCGACAGATCCAACATTAATGGGGACATTTTTTTTCAAAGCTGCTCTGACAAACCTAAGGCAAGAGTCACGATAAGTAGCAAAAGTCGTTTTTAGAAAACCAAAAGTTTCCAGTCGTCCACATTTTATATTTTCTTGAATTACATTTTGTATCGTCAGTTAGTGAATGACAAACATTTTTAGGCTAAATAAATCCTTCTCTCACACAAATAAAAGGACGAACTGACAAATCCATTGATGAAGAGTAATGTGTAGATTGATCAAGAAAAAGGCAAAATTAACTTTTGTTTGTAATTCATCACAAAAGCCTTGAGCTAAAATACAAGTTATTTTTACTCTAGGCCAGTTTTCATTGAGTATGCCTAACAGTTCCTAACGCCAAGCGGCTAACACACTAGACACGTAATGTTATTTGGCCTTAAGTCTATTTTGATGAGAGCCTGAAAATGACTAGGAAAAATATTTATTTTTTACAAAAAAATACATCTAGTGCCACTGGATTTAAATATAAAGATATACCTCTGACTTTTCTCTTCATAACTTATTCATAAAGACGCATTGGTTTGAATGGCTGTGAGAGTTTTTGGACTTTTGTATTGAGATATTTTGAAAAATAAGCTCAGTTTAAGAAAATAATGATACATTGTTTAAGAGCGTGGATACTCATGCCATGAAACAAGCCTCAATTGGTTGTAAACCTCCATATGTGCAGCAAATGGGATCTACTGATGTCCTGCACGAGGTTCAGCTGTATCTGTTGTGTTAAGTAACATTTTGGCCCTAGTACTCCAACTGTTGCAGAAAACAAAACATACAAGATAATTATTATTTGTGTGATTTTATAAAAAGTGGCGCTTTTTTTTTAAAAGAAGCAAAAAAAAGATATCAGATAAAGGAACATTTCAATATATAATTATTGTTATGTCTTTAATATTTTCAAAACATTCTTAAAGGGATAGTGTCCTAAGGTTAAGTTAGGAAAAATTCAACAATATTGTTCTACATGAGTAGTATTATTTGGCTAATTTTGAAAGGCATTTCGTTTTTGAGATGAAGGAAGCTAAAGGTTTATTTCAGAGATAAAACTAAACATTTTTTGAAAATTATATTTGTCTTAGTGTAAAAAAAAAAAAAAGGTAAAAAGGGACAGAGGGAGAACACAAAGGGACCGAGGGTCAGGCAAGTCTGTGACAAGGCTGGAGAATGAGTGCGGGACAGAGGCGGGACTCAAGCTTTGATTGACAGGAAATATATGGACACTTTATCAACTGACTGCAGCTGTTTAAGGTTAAAGATGTGAGAAAAGAAAGAACTCTCTTCCTCTGAGTAAAACAAACTCCTTAGTCTCTTATTCCATGATTAATGTGACTCGTGGTCATACTGGCAAAGGGTGCACCTCCTTAGGGGTTCCTAGTCCAACATGGTCACCCTTAGGGTGCGCAAATGTGTACAAACTACGCAAAACGAGACAAAAATGCACATCGTGGAGTAGAGTCTGTTCGTCAGCAATGACTCCAATGTGTTAAAGAGCTGGATCAGACGGAGATAGAGGAACAATTAGTGTATCGAGCAGTTTGTGTGTATGAAAAATAAAAGAATGAGGTTTATTTGTATGCCTCGTTGAGAAGGTGACACACCCCCTGCAGAGTTATAAGACACCGATAATGTGTGCGTGTGTCAGTCTGGCTCCAGATTATCTTCTGCTGGGTCAGGGGGGGCCATCTTCTGCTTGTATATGAAGGTCAGCATGAAGAGTGCTATGTCATGTGAGCACCAGTAACCTGTGTGTGAGGTCACCGCTGACCAATAGCGGCTCTCCACCAGACCCTCCCGGAGCTCAAAGTCGATGCGCCGCTCCAGCTCCACTGAAAAACACAAACAGAGACTTTAGGACGGATTTGAACCTTCCCAACCCAGACACAAATGTTATGTGTGTTTGTGAACTAACATGATGTGTCAGTAATGGGGGAGGTGGGCCGGATCAAGGTGGAGAGGCCGTATGCTGAATGGCTTTCTGTTCTCTTCTGCTCCTCTTCCTCAGTGTTTGCCCCCCCCTCCAGTCCCAGAGACACCGAGGGCTGGCTGTTGGAGCGGGAGAAACGTGAGAAGAGGATTCCTCCGATGCCCTTCCCTATGCTCGCCGCACCTATGTTATGTATGGAAGAAAGAGAGAAACAAAAAGAGAGATGCATGTTGGAATGTGGTTTAGATCGAGACGAAAATAGAAGTGAGAGTGAGGGCTTACTTCCTTTTCATTTTAATTCAATTTATTTTGAAGTACAGAGGAATCCTTGTCTATTAAGACACTCTCAATCTCCCCACAAGATGGCACTGTTGATGTAGTCATCGAGCCTTTCACATTACACAAGTTGTCAAACTCAAATGTTGCATTTCAATTGCTCAACTTTTCTCTGGATTTAAATTTGTTGTCAGAATTCTAATTATTTATTAATTCCAGTTGTAGAAAAATGGTTTGTTCTTTATTCTCCACCCAGACTGTTTGCCCCTGGTTGTCTCTCCTCAGACATTTAAGTAGTTGAATATGGTTTTATTTGTATTGTTATCTCTTCTGGCTTAGTATATGGCATTCATCATCTAGATAACAAACTTAATTATATTAAGAACTGATTTCCTTTACATAAGGTTGTTTTAAAATAATACTTCACCCACCCAAATTACTATTTGCGTATTATTTATTTACTTTTCAATTCTTGAAGAAAACTTAAAATGTGATGTTTTATTTGGAGTAAATTCATGTTTTGGGAATCAGTGAGCACACCAGCCTTGGATTATATTGCACAGGTTGTGTGAAAGTTTGTAAACAGATATTTTTAAAACATGGCTTATATTTACTTTAATACATCAAGACCTTTCTGTTTTTGGATTGTTTGTTCAAAGTGGAGGAATGTGGTTTCAAGAATTCAAGGTAATGCGGGATGAGTACCTGATATACAAATGCTCCTTTTAGAATTTAATTGAAGTGATCAGAACTCATTTTAGAGCAGAATTTGAAGCGAGGGTAGTGTCTTACCCAGTATACTGGCCTTGCCCAGGTTGGTGATAGACTCTCCGTAGTGTCTGCGGGCGAGAACAGGTGAGGTGCTCGGGCTGGGGAGGCTCTCAGTGTCAGACGCCGGGTCTTTCACTGGATTCAAGTAGGTTGGCCTGATCGCATCATAGTGTGTGGGACTAATGGCACTGCACCTAAAAAAGAAAATACAAAAACTCAGAAAATACATACTGGAAACATCCTGTGTTAGACAAGGAATAACAGAGTGATATAAGATACATGACTAAAGCTCTTACCAGTGTATCTGAACAGGTGAAACGTTGCTGAAATGTTTTAGGATGAGAGGCTCCAGTCTGTAGGCCTGAACAGAGAAACACAACTTCAGTTAGCTTGAAGTACAGAGAAACGCCGTAACTATTTCAAGTTGTAAAATCTTGGTTTTAGTGTTGTGAGTAGAGTAGAACAGACCTTGCAAACCAATAAAAAAAAACACAGCAAATATTAGTTATGAGTCACAAAAAAGTAATAACAAGGACATACTCTAATTTGACCTTTGACCTTATGGGCAAAACACCGTTCTGTAACGTACATCCTGGCTATTAAGTGCTGTCCTAGTCTTTCTTTTTTTATCATCTAAATTGAGGATTCATCACCCAGTCTTCACAGTCCTGTGCGTTGTCTTTCAGCCTTTCATTATAACTAATGTTCTTGATGTAGTGTGATTTTAAGGGTGTCCATTATCATCTGGCCGGGGACAACAGCTGGAAATTAGCAATGCTGGCTAAAGCTGCCCCATTTACTGTTTTGTGGGACAGTTGATCAATGGGGACTGCCCACAACACTATAAACTAAAACTAATACTTAATCACGCCATAAATGTGTGTGGGTGGAGTCAAAAATAATGAAGAAAAGGAAATATTGACTCCATCTCATATACAGACGCTCTCTCTCTCTTAATCAGGGTTTGGAGAGAGAGAGAGAGAGAGAGAGAGAGAATTAGGTTGGGGAATCCATGGAAACTGACCACAGGGTCTGTGGGATGGAAGACGTTGAAGAGCCGGCTGCAGATGGAGGTGGGCAGGATGTGGTCCTGGTGGCAGCTGGTCCCAGGGCGGATCCCCCTCAGAGCCAAGAACACCGCCAGAGGAGAGCCCATGCAGAAGAAGTTCTCCACCTGAGAGACAAAAGGTGCAGAGATGATATCAATGTAATAAAGGTATGTATATGTGTACATATGTATGTATATATAGAATTATGTTTATCTGTGTGAGTATTTAATTACAGAATTATCTTTTATTTACTTTACCGTGCAACAGGATGACTAACGGGAGGGCTACTTCTGTATAAGCAATGCTTTCTGCCCTCCCACTTCTACTAATTTTGTTCGTTTTTTAGATGTATAAACTAAAGTGTTGAAATCGTAGAATAAATAATACATTTTAAAAAGGAAGTCTCTGGTATTTACACAAATAGCAATTCTTCAATGCTGCTGATATAATGATTTTAGGTTTGTCTTAAATAACATGCATTCAAAAGGTTTTACAAATAATAACATTAGTTGTGTGTACAAAAATGCTGAAACCCCTATTATTATTATTATTATTAGTCTGTAATAGCAATCATGTTTTTAAAGCGTACAAATAATAAATGAATATTTTACATTAAATTTGAGAGAAGGACGGGCTGGGGGTTTTGATGCCTCCAGTGTGAGGAGTTGATTCTCCAGCTCTTGTAACCTGTTGGAAGCAGAAAAGTGACACATTGTCATAAACCAGAACATAAACAAGACATATTTCTGTCGCTGTAGCTTGAAATCACTCTCAATACACTCCTTAGATCCATTTGTGCATTATTATCACCTCGAGCTACCCTGGCACACACATACTGATTCTCCCAAAAAGCAATCTCAGTAGCACTGAGATCGACAACATTATTTCCCAGAGGCTTCTCGTTTCACTGAGGTAATGGTGCGCACTCTAACTGATATTGCACACACAGGGCGATGGTGGTGCGGAGCAGATATATTAAAAGCCTCTTCCCTTCCATTTGATCATGAGTTGTCACAATACCCTGCTGCTGCACGAACAACAACAAGAAACAACAACATGCCACTGAAAAAGGAGATTTGATGAGCAGCACACTAAAAGAAAAATGCTAGATTGGATATTGAATTTGGAGTAAAGAATGGTTTGAAAGTAGGGCTGGACGATTAATAGATTTTAAATCGAAATCGCGATTTGAAATGATGCGATTATCAAATCGCAAAGCNGCTATAGACTAAGATCTCAAAATTACATCACTCTGTCCGTCCCCTCAGTACGCACAGTGCTTGGAAAAAAAGCCCTATCATACTCTGCCCCCTCGACCAGGAACACACTTCAGCAGGAACTTAAGCTGACCACTTTGATACCCATCACGGATTTTAAACTAATTTTAAAAAAGCTGGAGAAATTATCTGTGGGTGTTTGCACCTTCTATATCTGACTACTTTTTTACGATGTTGTATTTTAGTGTTGCCTCTGTGTTTAGTGTCCTGTCTGTCTGTAACTTTGTGTGGTAGTGTTACTACTCTCTTGAAAATGAGACCTTGTGTCTCAATGAGATTTTACACCTGTATAAAATAAAGGCTAAATAAAAAAATAATAATAATGTCACCATTGATGGTCCAAATGTTCAGTGCCAAATGTGAATGTGTACTTTGCGTAAGAGTATATATATAAAACCTGTAATATTCTCTAAGGCAGCGGTTCCCAACCTTCTTCAACTCATGGCCCGCTTAAGAATCAAACGTTTTTTCGCACCCCACATTCAACCATGAATAATACGGAGGCTAAATAAAGTTCTGATTGGTCCATTTAGAACATGTGACACGTTGTTAATCCAGTAGAAAAGACCGCTGTCAAGGACTGTAATGACCGTTGCTAAGGAGGATCAAGAAAGAGAAAGGAAAAGAGGTTCAAATAAAATAGAAATCTTAATAATGAAATGTTTCCACACATATCAGAATGTTTTGCAAATTATTTGGCGGCCCACTTGCGATGCGTTCGGGCCGCGGCCCACAGGTTGGGAACCGCTGCTCTAAGTCTTTAAACACATACTCAGCTTTCCGAAACATACTGACTTTACGCAAGTATGGCGTCTCTTATAATCATACAATCAATACATCATAATCTTTAAATTAAATCACCAGTGTGTCTGTGTTTCTACTGTGTTATATTCTATTGTTCTTGGTGTTAAGGTAACAGATCCACGGCCCATGCAATTATCTACATTATCAAGCTGTACCTGTTCCTGGTGAGCCGTAGCTGCTCCACAACATGCTTCTCCTCGCAGGAGATCCAGCGCAGGTCCAGCTCCTCCTCCACGCCGTGATGCTCCTGCTGACAGAAGCGCACAGGATCCCACCCCGTCATGATGTCATAGGTGATGACGCAGCCGAGGGAGTGCGACACAATGGACACTTTGCCCCCCCGCTCCTCAAACTCAGGGTTCCGGGAGCAGAAAAGAGTGTACAGTCTGTTTAGCTCCTGTGTTAGGCCCTTTGTAATCTGGAGAAACATGGAGGGGAGAAGTTTTGAGTAGAAACACTAGGTCAAAGAGACTTGTGATTTACGGTTTCTGGATGTGTGCGACTCTCACCTCATCCCGGTAAAGGGGGCTGTTGTAGTACATGATGTCCATGGCACTGCTGTTGAGAAGGTCTCTCAGTCCTCTCACTTTGTCTGGTGTGATCGAGTCTACCGTATCTACAGAAAATAACCATTACATTGGCTTTAATGCAACACAATGGAGCCTGAATTCATGCACTCTAATGCAATCGTATACATCAGCTCATACATCAATTCTGCCTTCAGAAAGATAATAATGTTTTCGGTCAGAGGGGTATTAAGTCAACTATAGTATATGTTTGATATAGAGGTTTCAGCTTGTGTTTTACTGAACTACATTAAATCAATTAAGTGGCTACTGAGTGTATCTGGAGTACGTACACAATAGAATTAAAACAATTTTTTTTATTTTTTCCAGGTAAGTGCTCATGTTATCTGATCTCAGCACCCTCCTTCATACCCATTAAGTAAATTATGCAACATTCAGCCTGCATTTGGACAGGGACAATGGTTATAGCAGTAATGGCGAATGCGTCCTGCTGTCAAAACACTTAAGGGATGAGTACAGCTTTGCTTCATAACCCTTTCTCATTAGGATACAACAAATGTACCGGTAAAATACATCAAGAGTTAACAAAAACACAGTTAAACTGCTCACACTACCAGGATACACAAACATATGCATACAGGCATGCACAGTCTCAAAAAAGCACACAAACCTCCATCCAGTGCAAGTTTAGAGCGCCACTCGACAGGCAAGAACTCCACATGCTCGTCATTTTGGTCTGAAAAGTGCTTCTCCTCCATCTTCCTCACCCCCTCCCTCAGCCTGAATAGAGAAATTACAACAAAGAGCATAGGGCACATGAGGACATCGCACACTGCAATCTGTATTCCTTAAGAGTGCAGTTGGGATTGTGTGGAGTGTTATGCCAAAACATTCAAATACAAAAAGCAGTAGATTGCTTGAAAAAAGTGATGATCAGATTGTCACGGTAGCAGCAATGTATATCTGGCCCTGCTACAGACTGAAGATGGAGTCGTTTGTTCTCGACTTTAATGAATGTCGGCCAGTGAAGAATGAGGCTCATTATGCTTCTCCCTGATGCAGCACACACAAACAATGGCTGCCATGCTCCTAGCCCTATATGGGGCAACATTAGCTCACAGGAAACTCTAAATACACAGAGATGGAGAAACAGGGTGAGGCAAGTTGTTTGCATGGGTTAATGGAGTCTGAGAGAGGCTATTACGTGACTGCTCTGTGAATGGAGCACCTAATGCAGGTTTTGACAGGACTGTCTGCAGGGGATCTTAAAAGCACAGCACTGCATTACCGAGCTGCACCCACAATGACTCCCTAGCTTTTAGATTGGAAAGTGAGATTTGACATAGTCCTTTTAATCTAAAATAGATTTGAAAAAGAATACAGTTTTAGAACATAACAATACCCTAAATTCACTGCTGCCAATGACACTCAGAGGCACAGAGCTGAAATTAATTTAGGTTGAAAAATAAAAAAGAACTGGCTAGACGTGTCGGCTTGATCTTTCCTCTTGGCTGAGGAAAGTGTGTATGCTATAATCCACAGGGAGCTGGGAATGAAGCTTAGAGTGCTCTGCAGCTTGACTTGGTCTACTTACCTGCTTAGCTGGCCTAAGCTGCAGCCAGAGGCCCAGCGTAACTTAGCGACACAGAGACACACATTGCTCTAGTCAACACATTCTGTACTACTGCCTGTAATGCTCTTAGTTTAGGGTCAAAACAGCGGTGCTACTCAGGGGCAGATATGTGTCCTTGTACAGTTCATCACACAAAGACACAGGGTTGTAGCTATCTTAAGTGAGCTTTTCAAAACTGATCAAGAGCCTATACGCTAATGAGCTGCAGAAGACACTTAAAAAGGAAAAACACAGCAATCATTTCCTCCATCAGGTCTCCTGAGGCCGAAGTCATTATTGTAACTTCCACACAGTGGCCTCTATGCAAAAAGCTACTGTCTACAGAATTCCTCATTCAAACATTAGGCATTTGAAAGAGGAAAGAACCCTGTAGGCTGCTTTTCTGGATTATCTAGCGGTATCAGGCCATGCTGATCATTTTGGTTCAAAGAGCAAAGGTTGTAGGATATACATATTTTCCCAGAACACCAATAACATGGAAACAAATTGAATATATAATGCCCTAAGCATGAACATTATTTTAATATCATTAAGTCCCCGGATTATACATACAATTTATTTAGATTTTTGCACAAAATTAAGATGTGAACAAACATTATGTTTCCCATGAAATATCTCTCTATTGTTGTGTTGGCTGCTTCTGTATCTTGCTGCAGAGCCTCATGACATGCATTGTCTAAAATCTTTCCCTGCTCCTTTGTATTTTCTCCAGTTCCGATGCATTGTGCTTTCTTGGCCACAGTTCCAAAGGCACTCTTGGAATGCTAGGTACAAAGTTTGAGAACAGCAGAAAAAGACAAAGGGGGTGAAACAGATGAGAAGAGTGGGGGGACAAATAACACAAGCTGCTGCTGCAGTGTTATCAAAAGGAAATGCTTGAAATAACTCCCACTAAGGGTGGCCATGGATTAACAAAGCAGACAACGGTTCCAAGGAGGGGGTCATTGCCCCTGTTATATTAAGCCTGGACCCCCCTCTGGCCCCCTAACTATAGCACATATTTTTGGTGATTCTTTTAACCAACATTTATCAGCAGAGTGGAGAAATTGTTATTATTGATGTGCAGTGATAAATGTAAACATGTAGGTTAACACTGAATCAATGTTCTCATTTTATTGGAATATGTAAATTGTTAAGACTTTTGGAGAACCAGGTGGTGGCGGTGGTATGTAACGGTTATAATGTAATATATATATATATATCCAACTTCTGGCTCCCTGTATCGCGAATGTCAGTGGGGGGGGAGTGGAGTGGAGTATGAAGCCCTCTGGGGGTAGTGGAGTGCAGAGCTTCGTGACCACAGAGCGTGTGAAACGTTGTGATCAGCTGTTTTAGCGCAGTGCTGTACAGACCAACGTTAACAGCAGCCCCTGTCTGTGCACATGAAAACCGACTCTAACCGCCTTCTATACACAAATATGTTTAAAATGTAACAATGGTGCTAGTCAAAAAAAGTGATCTGATATCACATGAACCTGCCAGACAGGTTCTTCATCAGTTAATAGTTAATAATGTATCCCGCACAGAGATGCAAAGTTTAAAGAAAGAAGAAGTCAGATGTGTTAATCGATGACAGTAAGAGAAGTTTAAGGGACAGACAAAGAAGACAAAGGGAACAGCAATACAAACATCAACCGAGAGAGGTTTTGTTTTTTAAACTGGATTTGATTTGTGTGCAAATACATTTGGTTACAGTTTGAGAATCTGACATTAATCAACATGTACATAAGAAAAAACGTAATAGAATTATGTTTGTAATCACTCACATCCCAGTGTTTTTAATAATGCGTCCCTGGTCCATCTTCTGTCCAATCCCATGAACCACAAAGACAATGTGTGTAGTCTGGGGGGGTCTGTCCTCAGGTGACGCCTCCTCAACCCAACCCCGATGCAGCCGTGTGCCGCTGCTGGAGGCTGGAGGAGGACAGAGACGGACTATTAATGATTGCTCTTGATTTTAGTACACCTGGGAAAAGCAAAACATTTCTACAGTATTTTCTGTTCTGTATAGAGTGGTGCAGTGACGAGTCCTAAAACCCGGAAGTGAGTTAGCATTTTACCACTACCGGCAGTTCCCTCGTCTCAGAGTCAATAGGATCTCTCCATAGGATTTGGGAAAATAGCTGGAAATAAGGTCTGTGGTGGACACAAATTTAAGACACGGATCACGTTTTGTTCTACGACATTAAATACATCAGCAGTGACCCCACTGGTGATTTTTGAAGAGCTTACGTGTCTGAAAAACGATGGTTGTTAACAAGTGGCTGAATAGGACTACAGAAGTTGTCGAGGACGTTGTACGTCATTACACCGAACACGTAAACACTCCCACTAAGTTTGTTTGCCCCTGTTCTGCTTGAAAGCAAGTACCTGCCTCCTGCAAACTGTTCAAACAAACGCTTCAACTTGTACAATTTTAAATCTGTATTTTTGAATATCAATCTTAAATTGGCGTGACGTCGAAGTCGTGCGACAGATTTAAAATTGTACAAGTTGAAGCGTTTGTTTGAACAGTTTGCAGGAGNTTGATCTCTTATCCTGGAACCTAACCTGCTCCGGACCAGGCTAGCCGTTCAGCATAAGTTACCATGGAGATCTAGCCCGCTAAGAAGTGAACCAACGTCGTAGGACCGGAAACCCAGAGTTTTCCCTGAAGTTAGCCCGCTAAGCGAAAATCCGGCTTCGTAGTACAGGCCTCAGGTGCTGTCTGGAATATTTAATGATTTGTGTTTATTTTTTGTGTTTCCCTACTTTGCAAAAAAGGTCTTGAAATGTTATCTAATTTGTAGTCATTGTGCAGTTAATATACAATATAGTTGTTTTAGTCATGTTTTGTTTACATAAGGAACTCCACATATTATGTTGAAAACGTTTTCCATTAAACTGCCTTTTTTAGTCAAGTAGCTGTGTCATACACTACCCAAAAGTATTTGTAACCTTAATGACATGTCGATGACAGTGAAGGCAGCAGGTAGTCTGTATTGAGTGTAAAACAGATGCTACCTCAGTCATCTTGGCCATTATGTCAAACAGCGCTGCTACCACTATTACTAAGGCTCAATGTCCAGGGCCTTAAGGTACTAACCTGATAGCAGCGCTCCTTGATAGATTGGCCTGTTAAAGAGTGATGACAGCTGTAGCCTGTGACTGACACCAGGGTAACGGACATTATTCACTCTCTTTTGGTTGTTAGTTCTCTCCCACCTGCCCCCTTTCTACCTCCCTTTTCTGTTCAAATGGAGTGGATATCAGACGAGTGCTAAAACTACATGTCACAAGCGCAAACGCTGCCAAGGTACTGTAACATGCCAAGTTCTTTTTGTTTTTTTTACCTCTGCTGTGTTAGATCTGCTAGCTTGTTTCCTCTCTCTTAGTAAATCCTAGGACCCAGTTTCTCATTTATGTTGTGGTTCAGACCTGTTTAATCAAATTGTTAGAACTAGACCTAGGCTCAGTTATAAATGGTTGTTTTCAAATGGACTTTGGCTGCTCTCATAGTTCTCCATTGCAGCCTTAACTGGGCCTAGTTGCTAGAACTTCTCCCCGTATGCTGTGACCCAACGTTTGGTAGCACTGCTATTGCTGCTTTTTGAGGAACCTTTTGTATCTGTCCCTCAGCTCATTGCTTTGATAGTAAGTAGGCAGCATGGTTCACTCAACTATTAGGGCAAGTCCCCTTAAACCAGTGGATGTTAAATAAATGATCTGGTCCTCAAAAAGCCACCTTCTTTACCCTTTTTTATCTCTCCAGCCCCTCTCCCCATTCTCTCTCATCACTTTCCTACTCTCATCCCTTCTGGCAGTGAAACTGTCATTAATGAACCACCAGCTCTCGCTCTGAGAGCGATGGACAAAGCTCTCTGTTGAGAGCCAAACACAAGTGATGAGCTGAACAGTGGAGCCATTGTGGCTCTTTACTATAGACCCTCTTAGAGGTCCATCACTGTCCTAGTTCTGGGTGTATTGACCCTCAAAAAAATGCTTAACAGGGGTTTGGGGGTCTGACTCCTAATTTTGTGGTAATTCTAAGTGAACATTGACCTGCGATTTGACAACATAACACCTCCTAGGATGGGAGGTTATTAAAGCACTGCAGTAAGTAAATGTTTTACTAACATTAAATAAATATTCTTTAACAATAAATGGTCTATACAAGAGGGGATAAAACCTCATTGGGTGAAAGTAGCTAGAAGAAAAGTTGCAACTGATATATTCCCACAATGTCCCAGTCCAGCATCATAGTATATTTTACAAGCGATTAGTTTGAGAAGCATTTCCGAATGTGCTTCCAGCAGATTTCACAAACTCTCCCTAACAAAATGTCCCTGTTTCTCTTTTATTTCAACACTTTACCCAGTTCCTCACATTCTCTGGCCCTCAGTTCTTCCGTTTGAACCTTCCCCCCCATCCTGTGTCCCTCAGTAACTCCCCTCAGCAGCGTTGGAGAACTCCCTCAATGAACCCTTTTAACCTTTCTTGGTTGACCGCCAGTTTCTCTGAACACTTTGATCCCCTGCCTTTCCATTCCTTTCGCAATACATAACCTTTCCTTATAAAACAGGATGTAACGTTGTACAACCCCAAAGTACATTTTTTGAATTGATAAAGTCACTTAGCTGGAGAAGGTTACTATACAGTAATTTATATGATATAGACTAATACCTCCTGTTTTACAGTGGACTCAGCTGCCAATACTGCTTAACAGTCTGGAGTGGCTTGACCTACCCTAACCGTGTGTAGGTCTCATGACAACTGCCCCCGTCCTTTTTCTATGTGGACCTATCTTATGAGTCCATGAGGTAAATAAGGGAAGAAAGCCACTCTAAATTGTTTGGGATGAAGCCAAGCCAAATGGTGAAACGTTCTCTATACTGCTGCTGTCATAGAGTGGTGTAGCTATCTTCTGTGTGGGGGTGCAGGTTAAGCCTTTGTTTACTTTGCTGTTGAGTGGTTTTGTTTGACAATTTGCAAAGATAAATGGAAAGGTGTGACAGAGGAAACTGTATTTCTCGCCTCTGGTTCCTTAGGACATGAGCTTTATAGTTGTATCTGGCTAAGAGAAGCAATTACCTATCTTTTTTTTATTATACATGTCATAGCGCCCTTTACTCCAACACTTCTATTGCTTGTGGTAAACTCCTTTTTTAGTCCTTTCTTGTCCTTCTCCCTTAGAGGCAGCCATTCCTTTTAACACTGTTTGCCCTCAGAGTAAACAACAAAGGTGCAATAACTGTTTGGCCTTGCATTACCCACCAGTCATGCTTGTCCAGGCTACTGAGGCCTAGCTTTACTCCATCATGAGACTCACAAACACATAGGCTCTGTTTATATACAGTGTATCTTGTTGCTTGTCACATGATCATATTTAATCATTCCTGGGCAAGGAATTATGAATAAAAATGGAATATTAATGGATGATTGAGAAAGAAAACACTATGGAAAGGCTACTCAGATCTGAAACATGGCCAAGTCATTATTTTGGTCATTTTCTTACTTGAATGGTAAAAGACATCCAGTTAGTTTTCTGTGTGCTTCTTGAAACTTCATATCATTATAACTTTGTGGGACTATACTGTTAAAAGTGTGTTAGTACTTTACCACTTCCTTAATGGTTTCAATCCTCAGATTGACTTCTGCACAAATAGCCATGACTATGCACTGGACTTACGCCAAACTCTTCCACCATTTTCATCCAGATGAACTTGACTGCGCAGGACATTTAAAGGACATGCTGCAGAGACATAAATAACTCTCTCAAGTCAACCAGTTTCATTTATCGCTCTGAGCTTCTCTAGCAAATGGTGTCTTCTCCCTAGCTCTCTGCTCTTACTTGCACTTGTCACTGCATTACAGTTTGAAGCATCAACATGGAGAGGAATTAAAATCAACTGAAATTCAATTCGATATTTCATCAAAAATATATCATATAATATCTTCAGTCTGATGATGCTAAAGCAGGACAGTCAAGCAAGAGCTGGAGTATGAAATCATGGTGTGTGGTAGTTTGATGTGTTTTTCTTTCCTGCAGATCAATGCTCCAGCCCCTGCATTTGATTGGGCTGTGTCATTAGATCAATCCTAGACTTCTGCTTGTTGTAACTGCATTTAAGAAAATCGCAACTTGGGGGAAATTCTTACAATGTCTATCCCTGTCCCTTGAAATCTGTAATCACAATCCTTTGTATCGGTGACCCTTTTTTCCTGCACCCTTCTGCCCTGGTTTTTGCCTACGCTTTGCCCTATTTACCACACCATAAACCAATATGTTTTTCTCTGTCCATTCATTTACTCAATCGTCTCTCACTGACCCCTACAGCCATCCACAGCCTGCAGCTGAGTCGGACGCATGTTGATTGGCACAGCGTGGATGAGGTTTACCTCTACAGCGATGCCACTACTTCCAAAATTGCACGCACCGTCACCCAGAAACTGGGCTTCTCAAAAGGTCTGTATTGTACACACTCTTTATATTTCCATATAATAATGTATACAAACGATTCCCTATCTGTCCATACTTATATTTGTACTGAATTGATTTGAACCCCCCTGTTAATGAACCATTACCTACCGAAAGTAGCCACTATATATTAGATGTAAGTAGATCATAGCCATATTTACACATATGACCTAAAAAATATAGATGATGCAACCTGAAATAGTACATTATATAATACAAAATGACGGAGTATTAAACAAAAAAATGTTGGACCAAATTCCTGCCACACTTTTGGAAATATAAACTGTGTATTTGTCTTTCTATAATTTTGACAAAGGCTGTGTTCCAAATCAAATACTTAGTTTTTTTAATTTAGTATACACTCATAGCTGCATTCACACTGTGCTGCCATTTTCTATTATTCAACAGCTGTTAATACATGGCTGGGTACAGTTCAGTCTCTTAACTGGATTAGCCCAGAAAATCTCGCAGTGTCCATCTGCTAATCCCAGGGGCTCGGTTTGATGAAATGGCCCAAGTGTCACTGAAAAGAGGGCAACTGCTGTTTGACCCCTTGTCCGCTGTTTGATCTGGTTGCACGAATCTAATCTGATCTACAGTTCTCTCAGCTTTACGGTGCATTTCATCTCCTGATGGCAGATAATGAAAGCAGGAGTTGGCTCTGGTCATGTCAATCTCCTCTGACACACAAATGCTCAGTAATGACAAATCTCTATATATCTAGATAGCAGGAAATTCCATTGGCTTTGCCGCACCGCACATGACTGGAGTACACTATAGGATTGAACTGAGAACACGCACTTTACGCGTTTTACACACGCTGGCACAGAGTCTTGGGCCACTGGCACAGCAGACTTTTGTGTCTCACCTGCTGGCCTCTCTGGGCTCAGGAAGCACGTTACTTAAATACCATCACTCTGATATTTATAGCCTCTGTACACAGTTGCGTGGGAATGTTTGTGTTTGTGCAATAGTGGTGCAGGGATGACGTATTTACCCGGAAGTAAACTGCGCATGGGTTCCCTCGACAACAAAGCAATGGGATTTCTCCATAGGATTTTGGAAAATAGCTCGAAATAAGGTCTGTGGAAAACGAACCTGTTTGATAAATGCACGTTTTGTTCAGCCGGATAATCTCCACATGTCTGCCCTACTTTTATAATTTTCTAATCATAAATCTAACCGCCAGAAGCACAATGCTAACGTTATGCTATAAACTAACTACAGCAGGGTCGCTGCTTCAACGTCACGCCAACTTAAGATCGATATTCAAAAATACAGATTCAAAATTGTACAAGTTGATGTATTTAATGTCGTAAAACAAAACGTGATCCATCTCTTAAATGTGTGTCAACCACAGACCTTATTTCAAGCCATTTTCCAAAATCCTATGGAGAAA